GATATAATAGGATATAATAGGATATAATAGGATATAATAGGATATAATAGGATATAATAGGATATAATAGGATATAATAGGATATAATAGGATATAATAGGATATAATAGTAATATAAACTCAAATTCAAATAAAAGGTCGAAGAATTTTTAAGTCATTTATTTTGCAAACAACTAATTATTATATTTAAGAAATTATTTACTAAACAATTTTTGACCATTTATTTGAAAGCTTTATATACATACTCTCATTATGCTAACTATTAACTTTTGTAAATTTTAAATTAAAATTAACTGGGTTATCTAAACTTATGGGTGTCTTCAGGGTTTTAACAACAAGTGAATGTAGTACTTGGCCATATATTATTTCATATGTGAATTCACCTTACTTAAAATTTTGTGAAACCCCATGTATTTTCTATAATAGATTTGGTTAGACTGAATTAAAATTACTAACAATGCAAAAACGGCAATTGTTTCCGTCAATTAAAACCGAGTTAATTATACTAGTATGGTATGGTGTAATAAGACTATCCAGGTCCTGTAATCCAGCGGAATGTCTTAGGTGTCCAAATCGGTGATTATATTAGGGACGCGCTATAAAAACTCTATACATTTTTCATATAAAATCCTATTCAGCTATTCATACTATACAAGTCAGAGTTACAATACTATGAATGAATGTATTTCAATGCAAAAATGTAGAGTTTTTATAGCGCGGCCCTAATATAATCACTGATTTGGTCACCTAAGACATTCCGCTAGATTACCGGACCTGGATAGTCTTATTACACCATACCATACTAGTATAATTCATTCGGTTTTAATTGCAATTAACGGAAACAATTGCCGTTTTTGCATTGTAAGTTATCTAGGTGAATTCAAATAGAAAATAATATCACCAAGTACTACATTCATCTGTTGTTAAAACCCTGAAGACACCCATAAGTTTAGATAACCCAGTTAAATTTAGTTTAATATTCACAAAAGTTAATATTTAGCCAATGATAGTATATAGTATACACCCATGTTCAAGCAAAACTGGTGTCGGTTTTTGGCTTATATCACTTGAACGCGAAGTTGGATCTCAGATCTGACTTCGGATTCAGAAACTAGAAAAAATGTACGATAATTTGGTATGTAAGATCATATAATTATGTTGCCTAAAGTTAATTTGGTAAATTTTTCTTATAATTAACCTAGACTATATTTTTGTGCTCTTTCTATTGCAGGTTACAGATTTGTTCTAGGACGCACGGTTAAAAAGTTAATTCTAATAATTTGAGAAAATTTAAAAACTAATTAGCACCTATTAAACGCATTTTATTTTTATGCAAAATTATTTTTGAAATTTAAAAATCGCATTTAAAATGGCCAGGATACAGCAATCTTTCATATTTTCAAAGTAAATCCAAAATACCGAAAATTGCACCAAAACCCATGTGTTTTTTATGATTATTCCCAAAATATTCTTGTCAATATTCAACATTGAATATCTTTATGACCAGGCAACATAATTATATGATCTTACATACCAAATTATCGTACATTTATTCTAGTTTCTGAATCTGAAGTCAGATCTGAGATCCAACTTCGCGTACAAGTGATATAAGCCAAAAACGGCCACCAGTTTTGCTTGAACATGGGTGTATATAATGTATATTATATGATTCGCCCAATTCTGAAACGCTCGTTGTGTCTGTGAAAGCAAACTGTAAACTCAAGTATTTCTCTTCATATTATAATATACCACAACTTGATTGCTATACATTATTATGCGAAATACTTAAGTTTACAGTTTGCTTTCACAGACACATCGAGCGTTTCAGCTAGGTTGTGTCATATACTGTAATATAATAAATTAAATCTATATTTTGATTGAATAATGATTTTTTATACAAACCTGGCTCCCATTATGGCCAACATATTTCCAGCTTTAACTTCACCTGATACTATTAGTTAATAGTAATGTAATTACTTTAAAATAAATGTATGTTCAATATTATTAATAGCAAATACCGTTCCTTAGGATCTCTTTCGGAGTTTTATTATTTTGAAAACAATTATAAATAGATTTCTGTGTTTTAGTCATCACTTGGATATTAGTCCACGAAATACACACCGAATGTATGGTCTCTCTCGACATACCATTCCTATTGTCGGCAATTATTTCCGACATTTCTATCATTTTATTTATTTGAAAAATAATAAGTCTTTTTAAGACAAAGTCTTATACTTATTTAATTATTATATTACTTATTTTAATATTATCTAATATAAATTCTAATAAAATGAATGATTGTGCTATTTTTAAAACATATTTTTTTAATTATAAATCTTAGTTCGTGTTTAGCAAAATTGTTTTTAAGTGTGCTTGCTTGCAGAATAAAACTAAAATAAAATAACTTATCATGTCTTATTATTTGCACTATACATTTATTTATAAATAAATCCCTAATATCTATTACATTATGACTGTGTATTATTTATTGTCCCAGATATATTTATAAAGTAAGTCAAGTGAATCTACCACGATTATCTGTTTAATAGCTCGCTTATTACCGGTAATTGCAGCAAAAATCTATACTTTGGCAATCTTATAGTTCAATATGAGGTGGCCTTGACAAAATAAGAATATTCTTTATGGCATCAAGAATATTCTGTGATCAAGATAAATATCTTATTAAAATTATTATAAGATTTTTGATGTCATATTAGGACTCAATTAACTTTATAATCAAATTCTTTCAATTCAAATATTGTTCTCTAATTTAATTGTAATAAAAACATTATTATTGTTATATTGCTTCAAATGTTAATTTTGTTTTTATTATATCAATGACTGTTAAGATTACATAAAGCATAAAGGTTTATTTTTAAATTGTTAAACTAGAAAATTANAATTTAATTGTTGGCAATAGTTATAAAAAGTGATTTTATAAATGAACAAAATTATTTATTATTGAATTTTATTTCAAAAAAGTTTTCTAATGAATATTTTGTATCCGGATAAATGCGTGTGATATATGCGATAATATTATAAATATATGTTATTAAAATTTAGTAAATCAGAAAATTAATAGTACATAACTTACAACAGTATCATTTAAGCTTAACATTTAGACATTAGTCTACTTAATGTGTTTAACATTACAAATTATACTGCATCCATTTAACATAGCATACTGATTATCATTAAAGTTTCTAAATTTTTCAATTTATTAGTTTAAAACTAAGTTTAATAATAATAATATTTGTCAGTCATTTGCGTCTGACTTTCAAACATAAGCCAATGTAAGCCAAACACATATAAACCAAAGTCCAGGCCATGAGGGCTATGGGACACCACTGGAGACCCGACTCATCGAAACCCATGGATTCAATGACTTCTACTCCAGAGGTATAAGTAGTCGTCGATTGAGTGGTATTTGTGGTGTCGGACGACATGTTTCCAAAATTTCGCCACTCGTTTATAACCAATGATTGGTATCCGTAATATTGAAATGACAAGTACTGCAACCAATCTAACCACCCTGGTAGTGTGCTAAATAATTGATCGTGAAATATTTATTACCCAATTAATGGTATATTAAATAAATTACCCGATGTTCAGGAAATATCCTCCCAATACACTCAATGGCACCAAAAGTGATCCCATTATTGCATTGGCTGTCATAAAGTCCTGGCTTAGTGTAGAGATTAAAAATCCTATATTTATTTTAATTGCAATAAATAATTAATAATTATTATTTAAGCAATTTTAATCAAGTAAGGCGTTTAACTTTAGGATTTCTTAAAAATCATAAAATATTTTAAAATTAGAAATATAAAAACTATTTAACATGAAATTAAATCATTTATATAACTTTAATAATCAAACAAACTATTAATTTATATATTAATAAAAAGTCTATACAATTCATAACCCCATTTACCAACTTTATTGTTCAAGTAGAATTTGATTTTCTAAAATATACAAACATTGATAGTAATAATGATTTATTACCGAAATTCCAGGCACAAATAGTGGATAGGATAATAACACCAAGGTATATGAAAAATGCTTGTGCACTCAAATATAAACCAACGATGAAATACAAAATCGTTGCAAAAATAAAAGTCAGTATTGAACCTATAGCCAACTGTTCAAGTAAATAAGTTATACAGTATGCACAATTTAAATTCATAATTTGTTAATAAGCTTATGTTGACATTTGTCGAATTAATTATATAATACAGTATTGATAATAAATTATATTAATCATAATAAATTAATATTATACTTAAACATTACCTGGATAATAAAGGTCGCCAACATATATGGAAACAGAGCGTACGTACGGTTGTGGTGTTCCCTACAAAGTAAGGCTTCTTCTCCTATGAATGTCTATAATATTAAATTATATTTATTTCAATATGATGATACTTTTATAATTTTTAAAATGTCTATGTTGAAATTAACAATGTAATATTGTGCAGATACGAGACAATATTTTCCAATTTAAAAGCAAAAATCCAAATTGTCAAAAATGTAATGTAAGTGTTATTGAGACATAGTAAGCAATTATTTTAAAAATGAAATGACCATGCTTACAGTGAGTGCGAACAGTGACTGTGTCACTGAACATCTCATTATTATCATATAAAAAGCCCCTTTGATATTATCGAAGTTGGAGTAGTCATATCCCTGTCCGTAGTAGAGTATCCCGAATAATACTGCCATGGACTGTGGGAAAATACATTGGCATATGTGAGCTAATTTTTATATTATAAATAATTATCAATGACATACGAGCATTTGGATTAATCGAGTTTGTAGCAAACGGGGATTCCGCGTGAAAACAATATATGATCGCCATAATACAGTAACCAGTTGTTGCCAATAACCGGCCCTATAACCTGAACCCATTGTTGCCAAGTTTAATGTAGACATATTATCCACATTATATCCAGAATTGACTGTATTTGCACTCCATTCGAGATAATAGTCGCATATTTCCTTTATATAAAGACAATTTAATTAGAAATATAAATAACTGGTTAAATGTATACTGAAATATTACATTGACTTTGCTTTTAGTTTGCGCATAATTACTGTCCATTATTGCTATTTTGGGATAAATGATATAAAGTGATTGAGATCTATTAGGCATATGAGTAAAACAAACCCAATTCCCGTAAATAATAATCCGATGGATTGTAGGTTTTGGGACAAACCTATTGAAGAAATTAAATTTTATATTTAATTAAATAAATATAATTATAATTATAATATCAATATTACTAATCCTTGCGATGAAAAGAAATCTTTTGCTTCACCTATAAATGCAATGAAATTAATATACATTTATAATAAAATATAATATGAATACCGATGGGCCCCATGAAAGCTACCCTTCCGTCGGCCATAAGTAATAAACTGTCAAAGAGTTGAAAGACTGGAGACGAGGGCTGATGTATAGTACAGACGACAGTCCGTCCCTCCGATGCCATAGTCTTCAGCACTTGTACTATACTTTTGGCCATAAATGAGTCCAAACCAGTGGTCGGCTCATCACTA